ATGTGCAGTCGTCTTGAGCAATACTAGTGGAAATATTCTAAGAAGAGAAATATTTTATAGTTAACAAGCAGTAATATATTGCATTTATAATGCAGTGGATAAAATGATAGCAATCTCCTGTAAATTAGTAATTGGAGTGTTTACTAGTATCTACATTTAGTTAATTTCTGTGTACAATGCTCTTTCTAAAGGGTGGCTTTCACTAGCACATTAGACTACAGGCAGTTTTTTTTTTCTCTTTGAATTCAAGAGGGATTAAAAGGCGACACGCTTTAGCCTTAAAGGGATGATACGAAATTTGATAATAACTTGTCCTAAGGCTGAGTCCACACTTCGCCGGGGGAATTTGAAAACAGGGTATCGGTTAGGCCTACTGTCCACACTAATCTGCCCCGCAAACGGAGCTTTCCGAAAACGCCCTTCAAACCGGGGAAAATTTAAAAGAAGATTTTCGGAGATTTTCGAAAACGATGGCGTCAAGACAATCACGTGATTTCTCTGCCCGAGGTTTCCTCAAACAAAAACAAAATGACCGGTGATTAATGCGTTTTCAAATTTCTCCGGCGTTGTGTGGACGAAAAGCATTTGATGCGTTTTCACAGTGAAAACGTCGGTTTCCAATTTCTCCGGCGTGGTGTGGACAGGGCGTAAGAGAAGAAACTGGCTGTCAGGAGCTTACTAGCACATACGCAAAGACAGTAAGATGTTGATGATTACAGTGTTGCCACAGGTCAGGAAATGGTCCGGGAAAATAATTCTTCAGGTCAGGGAAAAGTCAGGGAATTTTTATCTTGAGTCAGGGAAATTGACATTTTGAAACAGAGAAAATTTAATCGAACACGGTTAATTTTCTTCCATCAAAGTCAGGGGAATGTGGCAGCAATGTAATACACTGTTGTCAGGAAAATTTCCCAGCAAATGGCAGTTAACAGCAAGCTACTTCATTTGCGTATGTTCTTTCTGGTTACGCGCTAATGAAAACTAGCCACTATACAGAGCGGTGCAAAAGGCCCTTAACACTGAGGTTAAAGATGCATTGTTAATGAAATGTTACCTCTTTTTTAACAAGACCTTTAGATTTGATATCTTCGTAGGGGAAAATCAATATCCTTTAATCATTTTGAAAGCACAATACTTAATCAACTCGATGCCTTAACTTACATTAAATGCTAATACTTCTTTTGATGTTTTTAGCTATAAATTCTACTTGAGTTTTCCAGTTTAAGTGTGAATC